AGTTGGGTGGGTCAGGACCTCAGGAAATTACTAGGGTGAAGAAAACAGTGGTAGTCAGGTAGATAAAGTCTTAGATATGGCACCTGCCAACTGGCTTAGTGAGGAGAGGGCTCAGCAAAAGAACAGTGGCCTCTGCCAGCACTTCTGTCTGGGAGAAAGCTGTCCCCCAGCTCTTCCCCTCATGGTGGACAATCCAGTTCCTTACCCATGTGTCTCGGATGCCTTTCAATCGTCTGCCCCAGTGCTGGAGCTCAGAGGGAGTGAGTCCAAGCCAGTCTGTGCACTGGCCCTTTAAGAGGAACTGCCTGGGATTCCAGCAGTGTCTGTCTTCCAGAGCCTCAATCCCTGCTGGTTTTTACAGACAGAAGTTATGGAGACTTATCCTCCTGGCATTGGAACTCTGGGCTGGAGGCCCTGGTGTGGGGCTGGGACGTCTTACTCCCGAGATATCCCTCCTGATTTTTATCTCTGACATGTGGGTGTGGAGCCACCTGTTCCACATCTCAGCCCCTCTTACCAGTCTCCATGTGGTCTCTTCTTTAATTCTGTAGTTGTAGGAACATCTATTCACCTCGATTTCTGATGGTACTGAATGATGGTTGTTGTATCGTTTAGTTGTAATTTTGACATGGTTACGGGAGGAGGTGAGCTACGTTTATCTATAACACCATCTTCACAATAATATTATTGTTAACACAAATTTAGCACTGCTAAGCACATCACATGCATGATCTAATTTAGTCCTTAAAAAAACCCAACGAAGTAGGCCATCTATTTTACATGTGAGGACACTGAGTCTCAGAGCGATGAAGCAATTTTCCCAAACTTACTGAGCTAGTCAGAGAAACCTATTTGGGACCACATGGACCACGTATCTGCTTCTAGTGTGGGCACTTCGCCGATAGACCATAGTACCTCCCAGGAAGAGCATGTACTTGAGGTAAACTTTGAACATGGGTAGCACTGGGATAATCATAGACAAAGGAGTGCAGTGTGTGGATGAAGGCAAGGGTGTCAAGGAGAAATATGAACCTGGTAGTGTGTTATGTCAGGAGCTGAATGAACTATGTTAAAAATACGTGAAAGTTTGGGAAGAGATTAGAGGAGTTTTTAAAAATGCTGGAAAGTGCATGGAAGAAAATAATTCATCTTTGTCCTTATCTTGCATATTTATTCCCATTTTTATTTTTTAATTAAAAACCATCACAAAACTTATGTACGCTTATTATAAGGAATACAAGCACTATAGAAAGTATAACAAAATATGCTTTAAAAACGCCCCCAAATCTTACCACCTAAAAATTACCATTAATATTAGAAAAATAGTATGATACATTTTCCTTTGCATTTATACAGAGAGGAGAGTGAATGGATAGGTGAAAATGATTATCTCAACATAGTTTTGATGTGTATTTCTCAGGAGGGAGGTACAGAATTCTTTCCTATGTTCAAAAGTCATCTGTGTATTGTTTATTATCTCTTGGCATTGTTGATTTTTTCTTATTTGTAGGAGATCTTTTCAACTTTGGTAAATTAGCTCTTTGTTATGAGTTGCAAATGATTCACTTATTAATGGACTGGATTTCATTTTTAAATAATTTATTTCAAAAAGGATTCATAGGTACCTTATTGATTGAATTTTGATATCAGGTATTGTGATTCTCCAACTTTGCTCTTCTTTCTCAAGATTGCTGAGGTTATTTGGGGCCTTTTTTGGTTCTGCATAGATTTTTGGAATATTTGTTTTATATCTGTGAAATATGCCATTGGTATTTTAATAGGAATTGCGTTGAATCTATAGAATGCTTTGTGTAGTATGGACATTTTAATGATGCTAATTCTTCCTATCCATGAACGTAGTATACATTTCCACTTATTTGTATCTTCCTCACTTTCTTTCTTTAGTGTACTATAGTTTTCTGAGGGCAGGTCTTTTCCCTCCTTGGTTAGATTTAGTCCTAGGTATCATTGTTGTTGTTTTTGTTGCAATAGTAAATGGGATTGTTTTCTCAGTTTCTCTGATAGTTTATTATTGGTGTATAAAAATGTGAATTTAACATTTAAGAATACTTGTTTATTGCCCTTATCAAGTACATGAACAATTCCTTTTAAAAATTAATTGTTGTGGTAAACTATATATAAAGTTCACCATTGTAACCATTTCAGGTGTATATTTCAGCGGCATGAAGTACATTCAAGTTGCTGTGCAGCCAGTACTGCTGTCCATCTCTAGAGCTTTTGCGTCATCTCAGACTGAAACTCAGAACCCATTAAACACTAACTCCCGTTACTTCTTCCCCTCAGCCCCTGAAAACCATTATTCTACTTTCTATTTCTATTAATTTGTACCTCATATGAATGGAAGCACACAGTATTTTCCCTTTTGTGTCTGGCTTCCGTTAGCATGTTTTTAAGGTTCATCCATGTTGGGGCATGTATCAGAATTTCATTCCTTTTTTATATACCAGTTTCTTTATCTACTCACCCACTGATTGGGCTGTTTCCACCTTTAGTCTGTTGTAAATAATGCTATGAACGTAGGTGTTCAAGTATGCTTGAGTCCCTGCTTTCGGTTTGTCGAGTACATACCTAGAAGTGGAATTGCTGGATCATATGGTAGTTCTGTTTGATTTTTTTTTTGAGACAATGCCATAGTGTTTTCCATAGCCATTGTACCATTTTACATTCCCACGAACAATGCATGAGGGAACCAATTTCCCCACATTCTGGCTAATGAATGTTATTTGTTTTAAATATGTGTGTGTATATATATTTAATAATAGCCACCTTAATCGGTATGAAGTGGTATCTTATTGTGGTTTTGACTTTGCATTTTCCTAATGATTAACATATCTTTTCATGTGCTTGTGTATCTTTTTGGAGAAACGTCTACTCAAGTCTTTGGCTCCTTTTAAATTTCTTTTATTGTTGAATTGTAGGAATTCTTTATCTATTTTTAATATGAACCCCTTATTAGATATTTGCCAACCCTGATACCACTGCATGCATGTAGCCGGCTCTACGGTGTGCTCTGTGTATCTCCACATTATCCACATGGCCATGGAGAGCTTCTCATGTGAGACTTCGGGGGAAAAGTGTCAGTCAGGTGCCTGGCTGCTGCCCTCTGGCTGGCCTGACGGAGGCGTGATGTTCCAATGTCCCTGGCAGCTTCCTGCACAACTGTCCTTTAGATCAGGCCCCTTCTCCCCAAGGTGAGACCTTCTGGGGCGGGTCTGCCCGAGACTCCAGGAAGGTGGGATTTCTGCTGAGAAACCTAGGATTTGGTCATCCTGGGCCGCCTCTATCAATCTCACTCAATTTTTATGGAGATTAAATGAGAAAATAGGTGTGTTTTCCAAAGTGTTTTTTCTATAGCAATAGAAATGTTGTCTCTGTATTGCATCAAGCCTCTTCGTATCAGCATAAAAGCCCTTTAGGAAAATGAATTACATAAAACTCCCAGGGAAAGGTAGTTGTGCTTACTACCCGAGAACACAGGGCCCTCTGCCCAACTCAGTCACATCACTTAGACTAGGTGGTGGGCAGAATAACCCTCTTTGGCGAACATCAGCTCTTCCGGAATTTATGGGAGTGTTCAGAGAACTCTGATGGAGGCAGGAGCTAGCTCCGAAGCAGGGGAAGAGATGATGAGGTGAACCCTTTTCACTTTGATCTGTGGTGGAACATTTTTTGTTGTTTTTAATCTGAATTGTTCCTCTACCTTGTTTTATCCTTGGTATTTCTGTGGGTGCCCTGGCTTCTAATTCTTACAGGTATTAACTGCGCCCCTCACTGCTCACCCACCATTCCCGTGACTCCAGGCTACGCACGCCTCTCTGCCTGAGGGGAGAGCCCTGGTCAGTCATCCTGAAGTCATGGCTTGGATGGAAACAAGCCACACGAGTCCAGGAGGCCGGGGCAGAGGTCTTGCTTTTCCAGATACTTGGCTCAGCCTGGGGCTGTCATTCCCTTAATAAGAGCTCTAAGCATTCAGGTAAGTATGACTTTTGATCCCAGAAGGCCACAACTAACCGGAATCGGTGACACTGAGAATCAGAAACCATTCCTGCAACAGGAGAAACGGCAGGCGGGGCCGCTGTGGAGTCAGTGAACAGGAGGCCAGCACAGCCCGGGACTGAGAGTGGAGAAGCCCAGGGTTAGGGAGGACCAGCACCCGTCCTCCCCCGAGGGTGATGCTGCTTGTTGTTACGCATCGTGCCGTCTGAGCTCTGCCCAACATTGGCGCTTTTTGCGCAGATCTGCCAACTCATTCCAGCTCAAATTGCCCTGTGACACTGTGTGCAGGTGCGCGAGCCCCAAAGCCAATCCCAACCCTCCCAGCCCCACCACTCGCTCCGGCCACTGCTGCAGACCCGTTCACGGCAGCTCTGACCACCGTACGTGGCCTGACAGGGCCTCAGCTCGGCCTGCGGTCTCACCTCTTGCTTTCTACCCAGGGGACGGAACCTGTGCGGGACTTAGGCACGTGCAACCCGGGCACTCAGGGAGCTGACACCTGCGGGGATGCCTGTGATGGGTGGGGGAGGGGCGCCCGTGTAGAAATGCTTCCCCTTTTTATCTACATGCACGTGGTTTTGAGTAGACTTCCTCAGGCTCTTCAGGCATCCTGGCTGGCTGCAGCCAGGAATGCATCCCAGTGCTGGGTCTCGCTCCTTCCCCGTTTCCTGTCCCCGGCCTTTACTCCCGCTCCCCAGAATCTTGTTCCCAAGTCGCTGCACAGAGCGCTGGTCCCAGGCTCTGCTCCCGGGGGAGCCCAGGCTGAGGCGCGCGTGAGAGGGCTGGCTCAGCCCGTGGACAGAGGAAGGCTTCTAGCACGCAGGGATTACTCTTGGCCTCAGCGGCTAATCCCAAACCACTGCCAGAATTAGCCCAAGGTGACACAGAGAAAATTCAGGTGACAGTGTGGCATGGGTCACCAAATTGTGGGGAAAAAAAGTTGTGGGCAGTTGCTATTATTTAAAAAAAAATCATTTTATTTATTAAAACATGTTCATTTCCCAAGGCACTTCAGTAGCTTTCCCAAACATGTGGGTTTCAACCAGGTGAAGGATATGCGGCAGGAGTACCATGGTAACCACGGCGACCGTCAGAAAAGGGGAGCCGGGTACACCGAACACAAACGTCTCCCAATGGCACATGACTGAAGCGAGCAACTCTGAACAACTGAACGTGACTGAATTTTCTTCTTTGTAATTTTTTCCCATGATTAGGTATCACACGAGGAAACCACACAAGGACATCAGTTTTGGGGATCTGAGAAGTGCTGGTGGCTAAAAGTGCTAAGGCCTTGCGCAGGTGGCAGCTGCACACCATTACCAGGGTGATTCGGGGCTGACAAGACAAGACACAAACCAGGAGACTAAGGAACCAGTCTTCTGTAAGACTATTCTGAAGGGTAAATAATTTAAGGAGAAAAAAAAAACCCAAATAAACAACAAACAGACAATGCACAAACCAACTCTACATTATAGTTTTGAGAGAAGAGACAACTTTGCTTGTCTCTCTCTTTCTTACTGATGCACTTCCTTCAAACCATGCATCGAAACTGTGATGGCTAGGAGCTTTGATTCACCCGACAGAAAAACGAGAACAGTAGGTTCGTGATGGATCTGTTACGGGCCTGGACAAGCCCAGTGCTTTGATCAGATGTAAACAAGTCTACCGAGTAGTCCCACTGAGTGGTCCAAGGGCTCACAAGCCAACGCGCCGGCCTGTGTTCTGTGCCTGTGAGGCATCAGCAGGTTTCCCCAGACCTGGGCGCTTCCGCGTTAGGGCAGCAACTCCCAGTGAATAACCTTTGTAATTGAGAAAGTGTGAGAACTCAAACTCCCTGTGAAATGATTTCTTTTCCTCTAAAGCGAACCTTTAGAGGGAAAGATTTCGGGAGTGGGCGTGGGATTTAGACCTCCATTTTTATGGGGGGTCCTTTTTCAGGAAGTCTGAAATTAAAATGTAAATTTAGCAGATGCCTCTCATATTCTTCCAAATCCCACTGGTTCTAGTTAACTGCTTAGGAAATGGCCTGTCCGTCACTGTATTAGGACTTCTCTGAAGTTCTCTGTTGACAGCCACGCGTCGCTGGAGGCCACACGCAGCCTCCAAGTCCAGGTGCCCATCTGCGAGCAAGTCAGACACAGGGTCAACAGAATGAACAGCAAAGGCCTTTGTCACTGAAGGACTCCGCATCGACACAAACCATTTCTGATGGGACGCAGTCTTTCCTCTTCACTGTCTCACTCCCTGGAGGGTGTTAGAAGGCTGTGCTTTTAAGGACTGTCGGGCTTTCTTCACCATCTTTTAATATCCTTGTGTGGCTTGGGGTTTGCCTGTATTTTATTCTATTAAAACAAGCAAAACAAATGTTAGTAACAAACCTTAAAGAGATATCCTCCAGTCTCAAAACAAACCAAACCTAGACCTGAGGACATCTCGCTAAAGGGGAAAAAAATCGGACAGCAGACCCCCAAGGCTTCTCCCGGCCTCTGCGCTGTCCCGGAGCTGCCGCGGCTGTGGGCCTGCATGCGGGGACGTGGTGGTCCGGGTCAGACCACAGGGCGCAGAGTGCAGTCTCCTTGCCATTTCTAAACCTCTGACGGCTAAACCAGTCCACGGCACTTCGGAGGTCTGTGGCGGACTCTCTGCCAGGCCCAGGCCCAGAGCATCAACGTGGTGCAGAGCGAGCCTCCTTACCCCTTGACCCTTAGCATCTGGTCAATGGTGTCTGGCAGCGGGGTGCCGAAGCTCTCCGGGAGGAACAGCGTGAGGATGGCTGTCAGGATGGTCAGGCTGCCCATGAGAATGTAGGGCAGGAAGCGGTCGTAGGCACCTAGGGTGAAGCAGACACAGCCCGAAGCCAGGGGTGTGGTTAGGCCCGGTCTCTCTCTAGCCCTTTGCGCATCTGCCCTCTCAGCCTCAGCATGTCCCACAGTCTGAGCTGCCAAACCGGAATCTGGCACCTAAGCAGGTCTCAGCACCAGGGTTGGCACCGGCACGCCCAGAGGTCCAGCAGTGCCTCACGGGGCAGGCGAGGGGCGCGGAGCCATGATGATTACTATTCCTATTTCCCAATGCTGGGCTTCCAAAGAACTTCAGATAGTCGTCCAGGGACAGAAATAGCTCCCCAACCTTTCCAGGTGTGTTTCAACCCATTCGATTTGCCTAGAGGCCAAACAAGATGTTTCTGCTTGTCAGATGGATGGAGGATGTTCGCCAAGCACGCTGGGTACTCTCAGGGTGCGCGCACCCCTCCCCAGAGATGTGCCAGGGAGGGGTGGGCGGGGAGCGGCAGCTGCCAGGAGAAAAGAACTCTGAGGAAGAGGAAACGGTGCCCTGCTACAGAAAATGGCACAAGGCACATCACCACACAGGACTGAACCATTGTGTCACACGCTCCAAGTCACAAGAAGTCTCAGTTCATCAGGAACCTTGAATGGGCCTCTTTCCCTCTTCCTGTTCCTTTTAAACTCTGATTCCAAGAAGAGAATTCTCCAGCGGAGTGCACGGGCTCCCTAAGCCGCGCTGGAGCCTCTCAGGACAGGGGAATCCTACCCTCCGAGGGAGGGCCTGGGGCGGCTAAACCAGGAGCAAAACTCCCTACTTCTCTCATCAGCTCCTAGCTAGTCTATGGGTTGTTTTCCACGCACAAGCGAGTGCCTGCCCTGCAGCCCCTGCACCTAGACAAGAACCTTCCCCAGGCACAGGTCCAGTATCAGCTGGATCCCATCTGCCGCACGTGCCTGTTGTCCTGTTACCAAGCCATTTCCAGCCCAGAGTAAAGCCCGTCAGTGCTTCCACCCCATCCCGCCCCCGTGCCCTCGCCCCGGGGACGTACCGAGGTAAATGAAGTAGGGAGACAGGATGCTGCCCAGGCGGGACGCCGTGGAGCTGACTCCCACGCCCATGTTTCTGACCACAGTGGGGTACAGCTCGGCTGTGTACACGTAGACCATGGAGAAGGCTGCAGTGATTCCAAACTTGCCCACCATCACCAGGATGGTTGACAAATAATTCAAGTCTGGGGAGGCAAAGGGAAGAAAGTAGGAGAAGGCACCAACCCAAGGCACGCTGCAATGACAGCTGCGATTTCTGGGGCGGGCGGTTTCTCTAACTTCCTATTGTGGGTTAGGGGCTACAGCCAAGACGTCCCTCCAGGTGGTTACTCCTGAGAGGAGGCCGGGACCTGCAGCTGTGAGGACATGAGCTTCCTCTCCGCCTGAAGACCACCGAGTGAGCCCCTCAGGCCCCAGCAAACCTGCCTCCCAGGCCAGAAGTCACCACACGCCTCTAGCAGGGGCCTCATGCGGCAGGCACTGTAGCTTAGCCGGTGGCTTGTGTCCGAATGGGGGACTCAATTCTCACTTGTTTCACACTTTCACTCTGCTGAGACCTGACAAGTCACAGACCCGCAGACCCCTGGAAACGATCTATCCTGCTGGCTGGGAGGTGCCTATGGGTCGCCCTGAGCGCAGGCGTGAACTGTACACAGGCCTGGGGTCCCCTGCCATGCCCCAGCGGGGCTGTTCCTGGGCTGTGTTGCCAGCCTCGGGGACCCACAAATGATCCTCAGAGGCCACCGAAGGCATGAGGACAGGGGCAACTCTAGGTGCCATAGGGAGTCCATGAACTGTTCCATAGAGAGTCAGAAGGGCTTGCTCCCTCGCCTGCGGGATACCGAGGCAGTTCTAAGAATCGAATCCTGTGAACGGCCTAGGCAACCCACTCTGTGACCGGCCCTCCTTTCTCCCCACTCTTCATCTCTTCCCAGCTCTTTCTCTGTCTTGGAACGTGCCAGGCTCGCTGCCTCCTCAGGGGGGCTGCCTTTGCTGTCTCCTCAGCCTGCAGGGCTCTGCGGCTAGACTTCTCCGCAGCGTTCTCCATTGTTCATCCACGTTTCCACTCCCCAGCCTTCTCTGCGGACACTGTCCGGGACCGCCCTCCACAGTCCTTGTTGTTATAAAAGTAACACATTCTGCACTACATGAAGCCTCGAGTTACTCGTTTGTTGCCCGTGTCCTCGGCCAGCGTGGGAGCTGCAGGAGGGCCCCGGGCCCCGCAGGACTTTTCACGCCTGCGCCCCTGGCACAGTGCCCGGCTGCGCATTCCCTGGCTCCTCACTGGATAAATGAGTGATTAAGGGCCAGGTTAATAAGTAATGGGGATGGCTGTCTTTGTTCCCCCTCACCCTGCAGAGAAAAACAAATATGCCCACGTTAACTTGGGTAAACAGCAAAACTAATCACCAGCCCCATCTGGCTGCTCTGCCCGCCTCCACCCAGCCCAGGCCAGGGGGGCTGTATGGTCTCAGGACACAGTTTCTCTTGATTTTTTGGCAGAAATGAAGATATCCAGGTGAGCGATGATGGCATGATCTTATTCCTTTCATGGACGGGGGGAGTCAGCCTGCTGGAGGCTGAGTGACAGAGCGAAGACCGCGGGCGTGCGCGGGCCTACCTTGGGGTACGAGCTGCACGAAGAGGAGCACGCTGCCGCCCAGGAAGAGGGCAGTGGCCATGGAGTAGCGCCGCGGCAGGTGCTGCAGCAGCAGCCAGGCCAGCACATACGCCGGGACTTCCACCACTGCCGACAGGAAGCAGTTCACATAGACGTCACCGTGCAAGTTCGGTGTGTCCAGGGAGAGCCCGAAATAGCCCACCGATATGGTCATCCTGAAACAGAGTGCAGAAGCTGGAGGAGCCGCGTCCCCCTGGGTACCTCCCAACTGGGGCAACTTTTCAGATACAATCATCGCAGGAAATTCAAAACGATCCTTCGTGAGGGCAGCAGATTGAACCGAGTCTTACTTCTTAGAACAAAAGATCACTCCCCCAGCCCAGTGTAAACCCCGGGGCCAGGGCGCTTTCAGAGCATTCCAAACAGCAAAAGACACACAAGTCAGACAGAGGCACTTTGTTGGGAAAGTACAAAACAAACAACAACAAAATCCAACTCCAACCTGCCTATCGGCTCTAGAAATCCTAAGCTGAAGCTCTCACGAGACCCACTTCCGGACTCTCCAGACATCCCCAAACCCAGCCGCCGCAGAGGAGCTGGGGGGTGAGTCAGGAAACAGACAGCAAGTGGGGTGGGGGGATAGGATTGGAGGGATAGGATCAAACAAGGAACAATCATGCGGTAAAACCCTTGGAGAAAGAGCCAGGGCTGGCCCTCCGGGGCCCCCAGCCTGGGGGAGGCTGGCCAGAGGCAGCAGCCGCCAGCACCGCCAGCCTTCAGGGGAGAAGGGAGGCGCCCCATGGCAGGGCTGCCTGGTCTCTCATCCGCGTGCTCCACCCCGGGGTCCCCGGCCTGGTCCCTGTGCCCAGTGGGCATTCTCTCTGGCAGACTGGACCTTTACGGGTTACGCTGGATTCATCTGCAGGCCGGAACCAGAGCTGTACGGTCAGGGGGAAGGGCACGTGCAGGAGTCCCTGAGAATCAGAGCCCAGGGAGCGTGTGGGCAGCCGCAGAGCGGGGACTGGTGAGGCTGGTGTGGGCTGAACGCTGCTCCTGGGTGGGGCACTGCCCTGTGGGATCCTGGGCCGTTCCTTGGAAATAGGTGACTCACCGTCCCCAGGGGCCAGATGGCTGGCTGCCCAAAGACTGGTTGACTAGTAAAATGGACTCTGGAGTGAGGTCTGCCTTCCTCGCAGAGAGGGATCAGGTAGTGGCCTCTAATCCCAAGGATTCTGGCTGCTGAGCAAACGCTCTCCCAATGCTTGGCTGTGTTCCCTCTCTGCCACCTCAGCTCCCTTTCTGACACACTTGGTGAAATGCCTCGCTTGTTAGAAGGAGCTTGACAAGGACATCCAGGCCATGGCCCCGCTTCCAGGACAATCTCCAGACACCCCAGAAGGAGGGACCCTGCTTCCACATACATTCCCAGACAGCACCTGGCAGCCTCTGTAACTGAAATAACATGGTGTCTTAGAGCCTTCTTGGAGGCCTCGCCTGTCTTCCTCAGCCACTGTCCGAGGCACACAGGACAGGTCTGGCTCAGCAAGGACCCAGAGTGAGCAAGGGTCCGCCTCAGGACCCGGAAGGATCCCCAACGGTCCCATATCTCCCCCCCCCCCCCCGCCGCCCCAAAGCCCCCGCCGCAGTTTTCATTCTGCTTCCCTGAAATTCTATCCAGAATTTGTGTCATGCCGCCCCTTTGATGGCAAGTCACATCCTTTCACTTGCTGATGACACAGGCTTTTAGTTTTGGTCTAAGACACACCTGCCGACGAGAGGCATGCCAGCCACTGCCAGAGGCTTTGCGTGGAAGGCCTCACTTACGCACCACAGGATTATGGACATGATGGTGACCATCCGGATGTTCCGGGTTCGCAGCAGATCCAGGATGCTGTGCGAATGCTGCTTCTTGGAACTTAGGTCTTGTAGCTGCAGGAGGGAGAAGGTTGGAGACTCAGAGATCCAATGACATACCCAAAACCCTGGCAGCTTAGCTTTCTGCACCTCTGAGTTGGGGAGTGTTTTGTTTCTTTCTTGAAAAGAAGAGTAAGTATCTGAATCTCGGGCAGCGGAAGGCTTCCCCTGGCCTTGTCAGTAACAAATTAGTGATCAAGGGTGAGGAGGAAAAACAGGTGACCAGTCCGCTCAGGGGACACAGCCAAGGTGAGGCCCAAGCTGACAGCTCCGTCAGGCAGCACCCAACAGCGGCCGCGTTCCAGGGAGGCCTTGAGAGTCCCTTCCCGCGGCTGGATCCCTGCCCTCTGGGTCAGAGACAGGCACCACCTATGGAGTATATTGATCTGCTATAATAAAATAATTAATGTTCTCAGTCTTCATACCATGTAGCTACTGGTCTGCTTCCAAAAGCAAAAACATCTCAGATAGAAAAACAGGAAAATTGACCTCAGCTTCACCCGGAGTAACTTCCTATGAAATTCAGCACAGCCAAGGACATTAATAAACCGCACGTCTAAACACACTGATGTTTCTTTCTTAAGCAAACCCAGCTTTGGAGCTTGTTTTTCCCGAGTTAGCAGTTCAACGAAAGGTCAGCTTTAGACTTAATGGATCCCTTGAAATAGCCTCATTTCCTCAAGGGTGCCAGTGGGACTTACGTGCTCACCCAGACTGACCCTTCGCTGAAAGGCCACCAAAGCTACCTCACTTAAGAGCCCTCTCTGCCATCCTCTCCTGCCCAGGCCCTTGCGCCTCGGAGCCCTTTCCCATCCAGGCCGGGAGGTGGCTGCTCCAACGCCACCTCGCTGCGAGGCGGGAGGGCCTGGAGGTGGCCAGTGGCTTCCCTGCTACGTGTAACTAGCCCCTCTTTTCCCAAGCCCCAGGTCGGCATCTGGAGTCTCGCGTGTCTCTAACATGCCTTTTGCGCACACTCCAGCAGGACTGCTGGTGGCTGTGCTCGCAGCCAGTCCTGTCTTCCTGCCAGACCAGACACACACTGCAGAGCCGTATCAGCCAGCAGTCACGGCGTCTGACCTCTTCCCACTGTCACGAGACTGGAGAGCGCTGCCTGCGCAGAGAGGGTGGGAGACAATAGGGGAAGCAGGGCCCAGGCAGCAGGCGGCCTGGAGGTTACTCATGGCGTGAGAACAGGGTTCGCAGGGAGGGGTGGGGAGGGCAAAGGGTCGGACAGCAAAGAGGCCTGGCTCCGCGATCGTGCAACAACTAACCACAGCTGGGCGGGAGGAGACGGACACTTCTAACTCCAAACCTGGGTTTGCTCCATATTTTATGTACTGCATTATCTTTTTACGATGAGAAGCTACCTTAGGTATGAGAAACAACAATTTCCCAAAGTGCCAACTTTGTGGAAGGACTATTACTCATAAAGAGTGCTTATTATTAAAAGTAATGGTAAGACTCTGTGATTGCCTGGAAAAGAAGTGCAGAAGTATGAAAACCTAAAATGCACAGGAAAGGTGAAGAGATTTAGGCAGCTGGCAACTCCTTCTCGGCTTCTGGGATGTCACAGGGCCTGCCTGGGGCAGCGGCGGCTGGGCCCCTGTGAAGGGAGGGCTTCCGGCCTTTGTAGTGCTGCCCTCAGACCACGGTCACCGAGACCCCCCCCCCGCCTCCCCGCTCCCGGCAGTGTTTACCTCACTCGGTTCAAAGATGGTGGTGGGTGCCACGATCCCGTTGATTCTGGCCGCCCTGTGGAGGATCACCTCGGCCTCTTGAAATCGTCCCTGAGAGATGAGCCATCGGGGGGACTCAGGGATGAACCTGAAGTACAAGGAGCAAGCTCACTGAGGCATTCCTGCCCAACAGAGCAGGCGTGGCCCAAGTGGAGGTGGGAGACGGGGGCTCAGAACCAGAGCTACGTCTGGGGAAGATCTGGTGTTTCCCAGCCAGAAGCAACAAGATGCTCCCTGCCACACTCAGTAACGACCCAAAGGGTGAGCTTCTGAGTACACGGGGGTGCACAGAATCCGGAGGCGCCTGCTCAGCCTGACGGGATGCAGCCCAGCCTGGCCACCTCTGTCTCTGAGGAGTAGTGGTGCCACCTGCTGGACACTAAGGAGACCAGACAAGATGGGCCCTGAAGCCTGGCTCTGGCTGTGGGGCCTCCCAGCTCAGGCCCTTGCCTGCCTGCACTCCCTGCCTGTCCCTGGCATCCACAGAAGTCTCCGCACTGGCTTCTTAGCCTCCAGTTTTCCCTCATTCCCACCAGATTCATCCAACTGACTTGTCAGACTCTCTATTTATGTTCACAAGGCACTTGGGTGCTTTGGGGACTATGTGGAGCTTATCTCCTACCTCACCAGGGAGCCCCTGCCCTTCAGTCACGACCAGGGCCCACACCGCGCTCTGACGCATTCCCCACCACCCCGCCGACCGGGCCACTCCCCCCTCGGCCCCTCTGCCGCGGTCCCTCCCTGGTAAGGAATGGCTTCCTTCTGCCTATCCAGCGCCTCTGTGTCAGAGGCTCGGATGGAGCCTGGCTTCCCTGTGTAGCCACCCCGGGTACTCTCGCTTCCATTGCTCTTCCTCTCCCCTCAGTGCCTGTGCCAGGAAGCCCTGGTGGCAGCACACAGCCAGCAGCGGGGCTGTGGCTGCCTCGTCCTGCGATCTGATTAACTTCCTGGCGGCCACGAAGGACCCCCTCATCACGCAGCTACTGCTTCTTCCTCCCCCTGGACTCTTGTCAGCCCAGCACAGGGCCGAACTCAAGTCTGTTGATGTCTTGGGATTTTGTTTTGTCTTTGGCTTTTCTGAGTGTGGAGAAAACATTCTGAAACAACATAAATAATTTACATTTCCCGTCTCTGAGAGCCCAAATAGGGATTTGTGGGTTGCTGCTGCCCCCTAGTGAAGGCCGACAGAGCTGTCCTGCTGGTGGTCGCCCCCCGGCACAGGGCCACACTCACCACCACAGCACCGCGCACAGCACCCCCGGCACCGTCAGCGCCAGCAGCAGCAGCCGCCAGTCTCTGATGAAGTAAGCAAACAGTGGCAGCAGCATGTAGCCAAAGGCATAAAATATGCACACTCCTAACGTAGAGAATATGATACGCACTGACTTGCCAAGAATTTCTGTGCCTGTTCAAAACAAGGGAGGTGTCACGTTAGTATTTAATTTAGGTTCTTTCCTCAATAATCTTCTCTTATATAAAGAAAAGAAAGCAGCCAGAATTTTCTCTAAGTTTCTAAGCCGTTGGGAGGGGCGGGATATGGAACCCAGACCAGTGTGACCATCTGCTTGCGGTGCCTCACTGTGGCCTCTCAGTGACATTTTGCTTATGAACATGTCATCACTTCCTGAAGCTATATGCTAAAAATGCCTCATTAGGCCTCAAAATTTAATCCTCACATGAGGAAGAATTCATCAAAGGGGAAGTCTTTACCAAGGCAGCACAATGCTGACTACTGCCATCCTTGAAGGAAAAAACATTCTGTTAAATGTGAAGAGAAAGAAATAATCCTTTCAAAAGTAAAACCCAAGGAACCCAAAGGCCAATAAGCTGGAGTTAGAACCTTGCAAACAGTAAGACCAAGCGTTTTCCCATGAGAACAGCTGAGAGCCTGGCAGCCTGAGCGCAGAGTTAAAGCCCAGAGGCTACACGCGTAAAGCCCACTCCCATCGATTCGTTCTTGCCAGTGAACTTCACTGGTCCCCGGGGTCTTGCAGAAGGGACACAGTGTCTGCGCAGTGTTTTCCTCCTCGGCCCTTGCTCCTCCTGCACGCCTCCCCCTCCCCCGGGCAGTCACAGGCCCTTTTCTGATGGAGAACCTTGGGTGAGTTCTAGTAAAATGGCCATCAAGTCCTAATGAGACCAAAGTGCCACAGCTCAGAGGCCAGGAAAGAACTGGAATGCAGCAGTTAGGCTGCTGTGCTGCTGGGGACCCAAGGCTGGGTAACTGGCGGACTCAGTTTCTCTGCCCACAAACTGGGTTCTCCAAGAAGCCCTGGCCGGTGTTGCTAGACGCCACTCCCTCCTGAGGGGCAGCACAGCTGTCTCCAGGAAGTGGGTGGTGAGACGCTGGTCAAACGCAGGGTCAAGTACTCAGCTCCAACCTGGTGGCCATACCCAGGACAAACGCGGCCACGTAGTTGGAGATCTGGCCCATGCCTACGAGGATAAACAGCACGGAAAACATCTCGAAGTTCTTGGAGAAGATCTGCAGGAAGCTGAAGCCCGTCTGCATGCCCATGGTCACAAACAGCACGTTCTTCCGACCGAACCTGGGAAGGAAAGGGGAGTGACAGAACTGGCTGGGAGAAGGGGGCAGGAACGGGCTCCACCCCGCGGGGCTTCCCCAGGGACTGTCCAGGGTGGGGCGGGGCATCTGGGACCAGGAGTCAGGGAGACAGCCCCAGTCTCCGGGTTCCTGCGATGGTATCCACCCCCTCCATCCTTCTCAGGACCAGTATGGGGCCCGGGCACGACGGTGGCCCGAGGGCAGTGCCACAGTTATGCTGGTGATTGCAAAGGATGGCAACACACTTATTCTGCTGAAATCCATATATTTATAATGCATTTTTTTTTAAAAGAACTGGTTTACTTTGGAGAGTGATGGAGAAACAATTCATGATACATGAAAACTGGTAAATAAAGGGAAAGAAACATTTATCCTGACTTTCCTGTGTAAACTACGTGAATAACCAATCATAAATGAGGGGAAGGGTCATTTTATAAAAGTACTCCAACTATTAAATGAAGAAGAAGTGATCAAATCAGAACATCCCCATTTTACAACCTTCAATCAATGAGCAGATATGGGCATTCTATTCTAATGACTGATCACACCATAGAGAGACAATCGAACACTGCGTTACTCCTACAGTCCTGCCAAAAGGACTGAGCCTGACTGATCAAGTCTCTAGATCTAGCCGGCAATGTGTAAGAAATACAGAGAAAAGAGGAATCTACTGAACTGCACTGCTGAGTCCAGCCTGGGGACTTCCAGAGGTGGACCAGCCCAGTGTTCTTCAAAAATCAACTGGGAGGCAGAGGAAGGGAAGGCAGGAGAGTCCCTAGCTTAAAGCAGGCTAAAAACCCACAAGGAAGTGATTGCTATGAAAGTCAGGCTAGCGGTTACGTGGCGGGGGGAGGACATGTGGACAGGGCTTCGTGGTGGCCAGCAAAGGTCTATTTCTTAATTTGGTGGAAGAAACAAGGTTATTCCCCTGGAATAATTCATCAAGCCACATTATTGTTCTATGTGGTTTTCTGTATCTGTTTTCAATTTAAATTTTTTTTAAGTTTTAGGTCTTTTTTAGAGGGTTTTTGTTGTTGTTGTTATTTTTTGTTGTGAAGACAGTGCCAACAGCCCTGGCTGGTGTGGCTCCCTGGATTGAGCGCTGGCCTGTGCACCAAAGGGTTGCCAGTTCGGTTCCCAGGGCAGGGCGCATGCTAGGGTTGCAGGCCAGGTCCCCAATAGGGGGTGCGTGAGAGGCAACCACACACTGATGTTTTTCTCCCTATCTTTTCCCCTCCCTTCCCCTCTGTCTAAAATAAATAAATAAAATCTTTAAAAAAAAAAGAAGAAAAAAGACAGTGCCACAAATGGGGAAGAACAAGCCAGACTAGTTCATCCAGCCCATCAGATTCGGCTTGAGTCTGGCCAGGCCAGCTGACACCCATTTTCATTCAATGAATGTTCATTTGAACATCTATTACATACTAGGCACTGGGGATAAGTCTGAATAAAACAAGACGCTGTTTATGCCCTCAAGGAGCTACAGTCTATCGGTGGTGAGACAGACAGGGATCAAACACATTTTAATCAAACAGCCCACTTACTGAACGCTCAGGTACACGTGAGGGCAAGGGCACTGAAGGTCAGCGCCCAGGCCCACAGGGACATGACAAAGAACCCCACCCCCGACTGGGGTAGTGGCGAGGGTGTTCAGGGAAGGTCTCCCTGATGATGGGACACTGAAGTGAGGTCCAAAAGAAAAGAACCTGCTGATAAGGGGCGGTCGGCTACCAAACTCTCAATGACATTCACAGTACAGCGGGGAGACCCACACTAATCACACCCCAATTTCTGATGGGTGCTCTAAAGGAAAGGCACAAGGAACTGGTGTGATGTAAACCAGGGACTCTCAGTCCGCCTGCAGGGTCAAGGAAGGCCAGGGCCGGGGTGGGGAATGCTTCAGGCTGATAGGGGCGCACACAAGGGTGGCCGGCAGGGGCACAACAAACACCAGGGGCCGGTGTGGCTGGCGTCGGCTGGCCACCGGGGGACTGCAGAGGTGGGCAGGAGCCACGTCGCACGGGCCGTGCAGCCACGTTAAAGAGTTTGGTGCTTAGACTCACTGTAATGGGGTTGTTTTGTTTCTTTGGGTGTTTGTTGTTTTGGCATTTACTAGGCAGAGGCCAGAGATGTTCTAGACACCCTAACATGCCCAGGATAGCCCCCCACAACAAACAATTCCCTGGCTCAAAATGTCAGGCACTTCAAGGTGGGTGAACCCTGGTCTAGAAGGAGACTGTGTTGCCCCTGCCCCCGCTGGCATTTGCTTGTACAGGAGCCCCCAGGTGCCATCCAAGGGCAGTCCCTCTCTGCGGGCAGAGCGCAGTAACCTCTACCCCTGCCTCCCCCACCCAGCGGCTCCCAGGACAGCGGCCAAGATAGCACCAGCCTCTTGGCAGCTGGGGGAGGGGCAAGAAACACTCAAAGTATGTCAACAAACGTCAAACCTATGCATGCCTACAAACCCAGGAAATATCTTATTTCTTCCCAGGGCTGTGCCTCTTATAATTCATGCACATAAAGGTAACTTGGTATCATATAAATGGCTTTGACAACCCAGGATTATTTTATTGCTCTTGAATTTCAGCCTAATTCATGTGTCAGAACAAAGGTGAAACCTTTGTCCCATATAAAAAGTTACTATGGTATCCTAGACAACAGGTTAAGGTAATGAATCTATTGTGCTTAGGTAATTTGTTTGGCTTAGGCTTTGCACCGGCTTACTTAAAGGTAATGAGAAGAGAAACTGCCCACCCCACGGACCCCTGGGCCTCCCGTGGGGGGTGGACAAGCTTGAGGGGTGGCGCTGGGAGCCGACGGCAGGGGCTGCAGCCAGAGACACTGTCCTTACAGCTATTTCACTTACTGGGCTCAAATGATCCTAATGAAAAGACGTCTACTGACAGAATGTTTTTAAAGTTCGGAAATAACATTGTGCTAGCACTTCTGGAGACGAGTGTGGTCCCTAACACACTCATGAATTTTGTTTCTGTCTCCTTGGGCGATTTCCGGACCACTTTCCCGAGCTGGTCAGGGCCTTCGGCGAGCCCTCAAAGACCACCTGGCCTATGACCCAGCTGACCCTGCAAAATGTGCTGAGATTCAACTCTGATCTTGGGGTAGCCCCTCCTTGTTTTTCATCTCAAAGTAACTCCTCTGGGTCTCAGCTGCCACTCCACCCCGAGCAAGGGGATTTCCCACTGTCCCGCGTGGGTGGGCACCCCGCTTCTCCTTCTTCGTTCTCCCCAGGCAATGCCATCCCTGTCTGAGGCTGTGATGGGGGTTCTGTGAGCTGGTGATTCCCAAACGTGCTTGTCCAGCCCAGACCTCGCATGGAGCACCCTATCCACACATCCAATTGCATACCAACCCCTCCACTTAGGAGTCTCACGGTCGCCCCAACCTCAGTATGTTCACACTTAACTCACCCTCTTCTCCTACAAACACGGCCCTCTTCAGAGTTCTTTGCCTAGAGAAGGGAACTGTCATCTGCCCAGTGGTACAGGCCAGAAACCTTCCTCTCCTCACTCCCCGCTTCCAGACCACAGCGCCGTCCGGCTGGTTTTGCCTGCCACCACCGGGCTATGCTGCTACCACCTGCAGGCCAGTCCGAGCCACCACCGTTTCCTGCACAATGACTGTGGCAGCCTCTTAATTAGTCTCTCCACAATCCTTGCTTCCTGTCAATCCTCTTTTCACAAAGTTGTCAAGTAATCTTTCAGAAATCGCAAACCTGATTACATCACACTCCTGCTTAAAAAACCCTCCCCAAGGTTCCATGACTGAATCGCAGGCTCCTCACTCCCACCGGCTGCGCCCGCCTGCTGGTACATGCGGGCCTCTGCCCGCCTCACCGCTTCCCACGCTGTCATGGTGACGCTTTTGCCATCCTGACATGCGCTGTGCCTCTTCTTGAGTCGAGGCTTAAGTCCGCGCTGCTCTCTGCGCCCAGCATGCTTTCCTCTCTCCACCCCAGGAGCTGGCGACCTTGCCCTCATCTTCCAGCTCCTGGCACGTGCTTCCCCGTCTGGGGGCAGCTCTGCCGGCCTCCTCTGTCAGACTCTCTCTTAGCATCTGCACCTTGCTGTGTCACTCACTGCCACTGCGGGTAACCAGTGCTCCTCTTGATGAGCTGTTTAATGCATCCATCCTGCCTTGCTAGAAGGCGGGGGCCCTGGAACAGCAGCCCACCCAAAACAGGGGATCCGGCTCTTTGGGCCCAAATCCCAGCTCTGGCCCTGCTGCCTCTGTGACGCCGGGCAAGACACTGAACTCCACCAGGCCTCACCTTCCCCACCTACACAGTGAGAATACGAACACTTCTTTCCTCACAGGGTGATGAAGATTAAATTATCATTCATTTGTACAGTGCTTCTCAGAGTGCCTGGCACATATCAGGTACCATGTGTTTGTTAAATAAGTATCGGTGATCAGCTGGTAACACTCTGCTCAAGTAAGGCTCTGGGGAAGCACAGGCCTTTCCCCGGAAGCGGCAAGTGTCTATGGCCCATCCAGACTTACCGGTCAGTGGTCACGGCCTACTTAACCCAATGCTTACTGGTGACTACAGGAATTTGCCCCCTTTTTTTAAACTGCTGGATGATACTCTGGAAAAAAGCAATCTAGTGAGAAGTGCACGTATTTCTCATGAGGAAAGACTTCTCAGGTGAGGACAATAATCCGCAGATGGAAACATGCCAAAGCATCGCCCTGAATCTATGTGCTGCACGATAAAATGGCTTTGTTCTCATGCAGGACGATGACCTCATCCTGCACTTCTCCAGTAGGGACCCTAACCAGCTAGGCCGATGCTGGGACTCCTCTCCACTGGGTGACAATGTGGCCAAGGACCTTGCTGGAGATCACTCTTCTCACCACGGGCTTTTCCGACAGACCCCGCAGCTCTGGGGTAGAGAGATAACAAGGCAGCAGAGGCCTCTGAGAACATCACAGAAACTATGTACCTCTCTCCAAATAATGCTCATGTACAGCCTCTAAAATTTTGCCTACGATTCCAAGAGCACATGAACTCCCTAAGTCGTGAATGGATCGTGAGTTAACAGCCTTGGAATTCCGTAAATAACCTGCTTATGGGTGGAAGCAGCCCATCTCCTGCTTGCTGTGAGGTAAGTGCCACAACCGCAGGCCGGGCGAAAGGGGCGCCAGCACTGGGACACCAGGCCTGCCCATCCTGCCACTACTGGCTACTGACTGACGTCCCCTCTCCCCTCACAGAGAGAACAGCGGCTCTCGGAACATGGCGACGGCTGTCGTGGTACGCCTGAAGGTCCAGAGGACAGTGTGTGCACATGCGTGTGTGGAGTCCACCTCTCCCACACTCGGGGACACGAAAGAGTCGCGCTCGCCTGGGGAGGGCCGGCCAGGCTGGTGCCGAAGTGAATCACGGCCTATCCCCTGGTCAGATCCAGCTGATCCGGCGTGTATACACCCAGCTCGGGTTGTTCTGTTCGGCAAGAATCAGGGAGAGGAGGATGTTGCTTCTTTTTACTTGGAGTGGCATCTGGACTGTAGAAGGGTTTCCCTTCCTTTAAAACACAGGCCCTGGGCTGGAAGGGCACTACCATGTGAAGTCAGGCGCCAGGCACACGCATACTCCTTGCTCAGTGCCGGGGTCCCCTGCCACTGCAGCAGACTGACACCCACCTTACCTGTCCGAGAGCTGCCCCGAAATGAAGGAGCCCAGCAGCACGCCCCCGAAAAACAAGGAGGTCGTGAGCGGGGCCTTCCAGTCGTCCTCACACACCAGGTTCCACTGTAAGAGGAGCAAAGGGATGTTTCACTCACTTCTTTTAAAAATGTTTTAAATTCAAGCTTTCTTGGAAAACGAATTTGGAACATCCTGCATCCCTGCGCTGTTTACACGACCACGTGGGTGTGTGAGCCTGTTTAGGCGGACCTGGCTGGTGTGGGCAGCGGGGCGGGGCAGGCAGCCCCTTCCCGGGACTGGGCTCCCCCCACGCCTGGCTTTTCACAGCTTTGGGCTCCCCTGCTCTGCTTCCAATCTGAGGAAGGGAGAGGCAGGGAGCAAGTACTCTGCCCACGTTCCAGTCCAGGAGAAGGCGAGGCCTCTCGTGGTCACTCTGAAGAACCTGGGTGGGCGCAGGGCTGTGGACGGGTATGGCGCCCCTCGGGTGGGGTCGGGTCATTGCCAGGACGGCGCAGGAGTGGTTTGGGTGCAGGGCTCTGGGGCTCCCAGGGTCAAGGTGTCCAGCAAGGAACCGAGGCCAGAGGGCCTGAGACGCACCATCCGCAGCTGTTCCTTCAGCTGTGCTCGGATCCCCACCCCGGGCCAATGACTTCTGGGTCCTCCTGGGACCCAGACATGCAGAGCTGGGATCCCTGATGCTGCGTTACACTAGGCTTGACTTCAGCCAAGAGGTCTGAGCTGGGAGTCAAGAAACTGGGTGTTGGCCTCTGTTCTGTTAACTGGTTACCCACCCTTGGACAAGACTCCCTCCCAGTGTGCCTCAATCTCCTCATTTGTAAAACGGGGACTGAGGCAGGGAACAGGCTACGCACCTTGAGTTTCCCAGCACCCAATATGCAGTTTCATCTACAGTTACCATAAAGAGGTCTGCGGGCTTGGGCAAGCAGCTGAACAACTCAACTGTGAGGGCGCTCCGGCCGAACGAGGGGCCAAGCGGCAGAAAAGCCAAAACAGGAAGCTTGGTGGTTCCCAGAAAAATGTTTCTCAGAACAGAGAGCTGGTGCTCAGCAGTAAGCAAGGCCGCCCGCCAGGGAATTCAGACCCTTGCTTGCTTGGCGCCAGGCTGCAGGCCTGCCCTGCACGGAGCCTGCAGGCGCCCCGGTAACGCAGAGGAGCGGGGGAGTGTGTGGCTTCCAAGAACAAGGCATCTCTCCCTGGCTAAGTGACAGAGGGAAAACAAGTCTGCTTCTCTGCCCTGCTGGGCAACGTGTGCATGGAGCCCCCGGGCACCTCGGAGGGGTGGGGGCAGCCCTCAGGCTGGACGTGAAAATCCCTGCAGCAGATAAGGGTCGCCTGGGCTGGGAAGGGGGGTGGCCCCCACCCCAGGGAGGAATAGAGGGCCCCAAGGCCTCCATCTAGGGAAGTCCAGACTAGCAGGAGGCCAGGCTCTCAGAGCACTAAGGCCTGAATGCCCGGGCAATGGCAGCCTTGCTTCCTCTGCAGCCTCAGTGCTGCCAGCGCCCAGAGAGCCCGGACACGGCCGCTAAAGTCAGGACGGGAGCGGCGGGGAGTCAGAGCTGAGGGCTGGCGGGAAAGGGGTGGGCGGGGGGGCGGGGCGGTGCTGGCTGCTGGGTGTTGGGCAGAGCTTCACGGGCCAGACCGTGGCTACTGCTGCTCCTGAAAGCGAGGGATCTATTCCCAGCTGGCACACACTACCGTTGTAGCAACAGAGGCTTTTTTAAAAAAGTGAAGACTCAGTAGCTGTTTCTCAATAGGTCTCTCGTGAGGGTTGGGGAATAACATAGCCGGGCTGGGCTGGAAATCCACAGGGGCTTCTGCAGGGAGTTCTGGGGTGACAGCCCACCAAACCCACGTCCCGACACAGGCTTTTAGAGAAATCTGGGCTAAGGAGACCAGGTGACTAGTGTCCATCTTGGGACAGGTCCCCAGATCATTTCTCCAGCTCCCACAGCTTTAGTCCTGCCACTTGGCCCAACCTGCCCTTATTCTGGGCAAGTGTGTTAACTCCCTGGTGTAACTGGTCTCCCCGTCCACCACTGACAATTCTTGACAGTTCTCAGGGCCTGGTTTTGGGCCTTCCAAAAGCAAACACGGGCTAACACTTCCTCCTAGCCACCGGGGGGCGCACCTGTGTGTAGGGTCAAGAAAGGCCATAGGTCTCAAAACTGAACAGGGGCAGGCACCAACTAGGTCCTGCCCCGCCAGCCTTACCTGTCAGCCACCAGGCAGACTGCAGTGGGCTCCAGGGCTTGGCCGGAATCCTCCCTAGGAGGGGTGGGATGAAAAGCCCACAGAGTGCAGGCTATTTACCCTGGGCTTGTTGTGTTTACAAAGGAATCCCGTGTTCCTACACTGAGCTCCTGGCTCCCCAGCCGTGACTAAAGCAGCTCCAGACCAGCTCACGATGCCTCCACCCGGTGCACTGGATGAGCTATGCTGGTTGATGACTACAGGTATCAGTGTTAGAACTAAGTCTCTGGGATTAAGATTCAGGCTGTGAGTCTAGCATTGTGACTGCTCAGCTGGGTGGAACGTGAGGGTCCAGCTGAGAGCTGGGAGAGCTTCTGGCAAGGGGCCTAGACTTGCTATCCTTCTTGGCAAGAAATGTCCCTTTCATATCCATGAAAGCTTTTCATATTGCACTTGAGTTATGTGCAGATTATTTTATGTCATTTATACCTCCACACAGTTGTTAAAATGTTTAAGGGAAAGAGAGAGAAGCGTGTAGTGTGTAAGTAGTGTATAATCAGTGACACTTCTTGGTTATGGGAAGTAGAGTGATGATGTTGTTTTGTGGTACTAAATGTTCTTACCGGTGAGCTGGCCAGAAGGGAGGAGAGAGAGGTTCTGTGCCATAGGGCAGAAGCTCTTCCCTGAGATGTACCCAGCCTGACCGCTTCACTAGTCAAATACACTGGTTGGCACCAGCTGTTACTAGATGCCATCTATTCCTTCCCACATTTCATTCTGCTTCCTGCTGCAATGAATGGCCAACCCTTGCCCCAAGGCTGTCAGGACGATAAGAAGAGGTACCTGCTACCATAACCTCCCCAGTGCCTGGCAGTGCCCAGCAGAGTGGGGCTCAGTAGCTGTTTGGAATGTAGTGGACAGAAAAAACAAAGGGCTGTGAACCTTCAACACTGCAGTACCCTCTGGGCTTGGTTGCCCAAAGCTAAGGTGAATCCTGAACTTTGATCTCTAGAACAGCTTTTCTTTGCTTCCTCAGCCCTGTCCCTGTGTCAGCTGTTAGGACTTTGACCCAGGATTGGGGTTCTCAGCCGCCCAGAGAGGGGCTCACTCTGATCCCTTGTGGCCAGACGGGCCTGTTAGGACTGCGTGTACCCAGCGAGGGGCATCTCTGGCTCGCCATGAGCTGCAAAGGGTCTGTGCTCCCCGTGAGTTCGCAGGGGCACAGCGGCGCAAGCTGCAGGGCTGCTCCGCCCCTCCTCCCCAGGGTCAGCTCCGCCCCACCTCCCCGCTCACACGGCCTCTCCTTCAGGTGATAGGGGCTGTGGACCCCAGCAGGGGCTCTCCCACCTCACGAGACTCTCTCTCTATGATATAAGGCCGACAGAAAAGGTAGTCCAGGGAAAGCGGCTTTCTAGGACAGCAGGACATCAGTCAGAGTCCTGCCAAGGGCTGGGGCGGGGGCTTCTGGGAAGCAAAGACAGGCAGGGAGTAAGGGGCCAAAGAGGACAGCCAGGCCTTAGCTGGACAGAGCCCAGCTCATGGACGCAAAGGAATTTCACTTTTCTGCAGGCTGGGCTATGGAGACACCAAAACGCAGGTGGGCCAGGCAGGCTGAGAAGTCAGCCAGGTTCCTAGAGGAGCGGCAGCCGCGGGTCAGGAAGCCCGCATGGCGGGAGCAGCAGAGCGAGGCGGGGTGGCTGATTCCCCCACCCCAGGGGCGACGCAGAAGCCAGGAAAGGGGCCAGCCTAGCAGCACGTGGGCTACCAAACTGTTCTGAAATGTGAGAGGACAACCTCTTTCATTTCCTGAATAGTGTCCCCTTCTTTCTGCCAATCCCAGTGCCTTGTCACATAGCCACACAGGGGCAAGCCCCAGTCCACGGGATGGGAGATTGCGTTTCCTTTAAAATGTTTCAGTCAGTGTTTTTAAACCACCCTCGAGCTTCCCTTCTGTAAGTGAAACTGTCCTTTTCTTCTTCAGTTCTCAAACTTTAGAAAAGATTTCTTAAGTTATTCATTAATCTATTCAACAAAAATTGTCCTGCGTGCCCACCCTCTGAATCCAGCATCAGGACAGGAGCTGCGGGAGATGCAAGATGTAAATCTACCAACAGCTTTAGCACCCACTGGCACACACTTTCATTTCAACGAAGGCAAAAATCACACAGGGGACGTGAGGTTTTTGTCTCCCATTGAGAAATGTAACTAGGGGTTCAATGCCAGTGTACTTTTAACTCTTCTACACATGCTGCTGGGCAGAGGGCTGGCCTGGGGACATTGAGCAGGCGTGAAGAAAGTGAGCCTTAGGAAAATGGAGTCCGAATGTTCATACAAGAGCTTCCAACAGTGACTGTTTACCTGAGAGGAATAAGCAGCCCTGAATGTCAAGTCAGGCATTCCAGCATCTTCAGACAAAGGGCTAAGTAAGGTATTAATCTGGCCTCCCAGTAAAGACTGACAACCTGTCAGTAGGTGAAAGGGCACACAGCTCTTACGAAACTGCTAAGACAGTGAAACAAATAGGCTAAATATAAAAATGGAAAAGCTGACATCGGTAGCAACACAGCTCAAGGACCCTCTGGCACGGCCAGCCTTCGGGAACTCATCCGCGCGGCCGCTGCCCTCAGCCAGGCAAGGAATCCTAAGGGCAGGGTAAAACGCAGAGATGCCATGCGCTTCTTCTGATTTCCCCCTTCCATGAGCAGCTAGAAGCAGACTTTGTAGGGACTCCTGTGTCATGGAGTATGGCTTCCCTCTGTGGCCTCTGCCTGCCACCAGAGGGACAGTCTCTGCTTGCACAACTCTCACTGCCTTTCAAGAAGGTGACAGACTTGCTTGAGCCCAGGTCTCAGGATTTGTGATGACAGGAAGTTTTGATTGTCTGTGGGCTACACTCAGTGCCTCTTTTGTCAACATGTCAGGGCACGAGAATGATGTCACTACCTGTGACAGTGGCGAGATCCCAGTGACTCCTTCTTCACCCCGCTCCCTCTGAACTCTGACCTCCCTCTAGGTTGTTTCTTGCTGTTCCAGGCTTTGCGTCTGCTGAGCTGCACACCCCAGACTTGTGGAGAGGCCTCCTCTTCCTGGACGCCTTCCCTAGTCTTCCCTTATCCATGTGCAGGGAAGCTGTGCGGCCTGGTGCCCACCAAGGAGGGCTCTCTCACTGCCCTGCTTGCTTAGTTCTGCTGAGTCAGTGTCTGAGTAAGACACAAAGGACATCCACACTCCCCCATTAAAATCATGTCGTACATCCAGCTCCAATGACTATCACCAGGGGACAGACAAAGCCACCCAAAACAAAAATCTGAGGGGCTGGGGAATGAAAAATTCGGGTTCTCCCCGCTTCCTGTGAACTAAGGTTGTATGCTTTAGCTATAACATTTCAGGTCAACAAGTCACCCCAAACAGATCTTCAGGTGCACGGATCCTGACAGGTTGGTAACCCATGCTGAGCAAAAAAGTACACGATTCCTTAGAGGGCATGAGCAGACTGTCACCTTGGGGTGAGGGTGGGTGGGGAAGAAGTAACTGGAAAAAGGAGCAAGAAAGTTTCATACACATGCTTCCCTTAACTTTAAAGGCTCAGGAAAGAAACGGTGTACTTCCTTTCTCTCTGAACTGATGCCAAAAGCCTGGAAGAAAAACTGCGACAGTCCCTCGGTCCAAGCTCTGCCTCTGCTCAACATTCTCACCTCAACTAGAGGAAGTCTTTAACAACCCAGGGCCTTAGAGCACCTCGCAGGGGTCGCCAGGGCCTTCTTGCCTCCCTCTCCACGATGGCCATCAGGATAGATGGCCTGGATGACACCCTGCTTTCAGCGGGCACCTCTGGCTGGATGTCGAAGCACAAAGCGTTCTGAGCCACCTGGCTGGAGGATGGATAACCATCACCAGTGTGTAGTGTGTTGGGGGAATGGGAGTGGCAACATCAGCACGCACCTTGCCCAGGGTAGCGTGCGTGACCTCAAAGACTGCCAAAGTCCTCCCCACACCCGAGTCTCCGGCCCCGGCGCGGGGCTGGTACCCACCTCGGTCACGATCGTGGTCAGGTAGACGTCCTGGCTGAACTCCCAGCCATCCAGGCAGCTCTCCTGCTCCAGCTGCTCCAGGTCCACGTCGCGCCCCGGTTCCAGCCCGAGCGCGGAGAAGTTGGCGATCACCGCGAGCCGGTAGCGCCGGCAGCTGTGAGGCACCTGGCGGCCGTCCTGCAGCCGCAGCGGGACACTGTGGTTGCGCCAGGCGCTGCTCAGGTTCGCGCTGTCCGGCACCCGGCAGCGGTGCTCCGGGGTCCCCGCCAGGAACACGACTGACATGCCGGTGAAGCCGTTGGGGATGATGCTGGCGCTGAGCAGAAAGAAGACGAGGCGCTGGAAGGGCCCCCACTCGCCCAGGAAGGCGGTCACCTCGTCGTACTCCTGCATTCCACCCTCAGCAACCCGCGGCGCGCGGCGCGGAGTTGGGGTACGCGGCGGCGCGCAGACGCGGGGCGCAGAAACCGTGTGCGCGTGCGCGTCGGGCCTCCACTGTGCGACCGGGAGAGAGACTGACCGGGTGACTGTCAGCCGAACTAGCAGGATCGCAAACTCCCGCCGCCGTAGCGGCAGGGCCGCAGCCTCGGGCCTTACATAGAGGGTGAGGCCGAGGAGGGTTGGGGGCTGGGGCGCCAAGGCCCGCCCCCGCATCCCGCAGTGCGCCGCTGACGGGGGCGGAGCCGGGGCCGCACGTGATGGCAGGTGGGCGGGCCCGGCCTCCCGGCGCACCTGGGGCTCAGCGCGGAGGTTCCAGTCGGAGCTTTGGCTCGGGCTCCGAAGGCAGCGACGCTCGTGGTCTCCGTGTCTGAGCCAAATGCGCTGCCCTAGCGCGGAGCCGGGGGGAGGGGACGTGTTGGCGAGCGGGCAGTGAGGCTCAATTACGGTATTAATAACAACGCCTCCATTTCACAACTAGGCCGACAAGGGTGCTGGGACAGGACCGGGGTCTCACTGTGATCAGGGCCCCGTCACGGTCCAACCGTGTAAGTGACAGGGATTATTTTCAAACCGAAACCATTAACTACCCCAATGAAGAGGCTGAGAGCAGTGACTTTGAATTCTAATTCAAGTGCCCTTTCCATGTTTTGCTCTGTAAACAAGCCCTTTTGTTGTCCTTTAACGTGTGAGAACAAATGTAAATTTGTAAATTTTTAACTTCAAGATTATTGATGATCCTAGCCCAGGATTGAATGTTCTCAGGTTAGTTGTTTCTGCACAGGCCTTAACTCAGAAGCTGACTGGCAATAAATAATTTTTTAAAAAGCAACTAGGTGATTCTAAAGCTTCACTCTGCAATAGAGTAAGTAGCTACCTTTGTAATTCCACCATAACAACAATGGAGGACAAATTTATCCTTCCCTGGAAACGGTCTTCCTCAGGAAATGAGGAAGCTCTGACAAAGTACTGAGATGATACATCTTTTGATTCTGAGGATGAAGACGAAGCATCACAGGTGACCAAGAAAAAAAAGAAACGACACAGGATTCCAACAAATGATGAATTACTCTATGATCCTGAAAAAGATAACAGAGATCGGGCTTGGGTTGATGCACAGAGAAGAGGCTCACCCTGGTTTTGGATTCCAGAGGCCACGCCAGTGACACCTGTTCCAAACAGAGATGCTGTCTTGAATTGCCCTGTCTGCATGGCCACCCTGTGTTTTGATTGTCCAAGGCATGGAGCATACAAAACCCAACGTAGAGCAATATTTGTGATGAATTGGTGTCGTCAACAAAGAGGAGGTTCTAAGATACAAAACCCCAGAAAGCAGGAAGAAGAAGCGAGGCCATGGGACGATGAGGTCTAACTAAGCAGATGACGCCACAACAGGCAGAGGCAGAAGTAGAAGAAACCTGTCACCCTGTTAGGTGCCACGAATGTTCCGCTGAAGTGGCAGGCTGTGGCAGGGACAAAGTCTTGCATTTTTTTCAGTGTTTTAGCAAGCCATTCCTAAAGAGCTAAGTTGGCATTTAATTGCCCACTACTGTATATAAGCCAAATATGGACAGTTATTTTCCTCCTGCCTGTTCATGTCCAGTGACACTCTGAGTGGTTGGTTGAGGAAGCAGTGTTTCATTCTTTTTGAAAGAGAGTGGTTACCAACTTTCATCCCTCTCCGTTCTTTAAAAAAAATTTCCCCTAGCTCTCTTGGGACTGATCATTCATTCCCTTTTTGATGGATTTGGGAAACTTGGGCTTTTTATTAATTAAAGCTCTTTAGAACTTAAACCAAGTTAAAAATGGTGAAATTAATTTTAATAATGTATTTCTTTAATTCTCTATGTGCAGAACATTTTTATTTCATTGTGTAATCAATATAAAAACTATTGAGACATTTTACACTCCTATATTTAAAAAAAATCATTGATAAATATTTAAATTATATCTTTTATATAGAGAGACCCTTAAGAAGCCAGTGTGTGATTTTATAGCACGTTTTAATTTGGGTCAGCCACATTTTAAGTGCTCAGTAGCCACAGGTAGCTTTCTTCTTGGACAACACTATTCTAAGGCCTTTAAGAATTAAGGCTGCTAAATTTAACATTGCAGCATACTCCTTTCAATAATGGGAGCTTAGTTACAGAAAGAGAACTTAATATACATTTTAGAATGTAATCTGTTGGATAAGTACTTCCATGGTGATTATATTCTAAATTGAAAATAAAAAGAGAATGGGAAGCTAACTTCGCCAGCATGTTTTACACAAGGACATATTAACATTTCCATGAAGCATAGTAAAATTTTAAAAAATTGGGATAAAAACGTTACATAGGTATTGGTCATTTCATTTATACTCACTGTTCAGTATCCCTGCTTCCCAAAAATGGTGTGCTATTCCTCAGAAATGTACTTAATTCTTTCTAACATCTTAAGTAACAGTCCTTTTCTGCAACTAACTGAAAAGGAAAACCAAGCTTCTTAAACATAAACCTGCATTTCACATCAACTCTCAAAATTGTTATAATATTTCAAAATGAATGAAAGCTTCTGCGAGAAGACTGCTGGCCTGGGAATAAAGTGACCAAGGAATAAAGTGAAGACATATAGTCAATCTGCTAAATTACTAAAATCGGTTTGGTTGAGGTGTGAGGCAATGATTCTTTTCTTGTTCTCACAGGCTGAGGACTTAAACTTTTTTAACTTTCCAGGCCCATTTCCATGCCTGGATATACACATGGACGTCTAACAGCCCTTCAGATAACCCTCTGAAGGACTCCTGGCCAGGCCGTCCAACATCCTCTGTCCTGACCACCTGACATCTGACTGATAACCATCCTGGATCAACCAATAATTCTCAATAATGTAGTTTTTACTATAAGAATTGTTAATTTGCCTTTCTTTGGAACACCTCTGGGTTTCTGCCTAGCTGTGTTTCCATTTGCAAACCCTAAGGCTTTTGAACAAACATCATTTATTTCTAACCAAAGCCTCCAGATTCTTTGTGAGCTCCTTTGACAGAACCAAACAAGCTGTAAAACCTTATTTTAAGAAATATCAGTTGGGCATCAGAAAACACTCCTGAAAGGGTTTGAAAATAATTCAATAGTCTGCCAGAAAAGAAGCGGATCTTAAGGGAAAAAAAAAAAGTGATCATAGATGCCTTGTCCACATGCACAAAACAGAGCAACCTGGGAAGGTGCTTTCCACTTCTTGGTGGGGCAGTAATTACTATGTATCTCAATGTTATTATTTAAATTCCATCTCTTAAAAAAGTGATTGAACTCTGAACCTGAGAGAATCTGCTACCTGAGGCCCTTTAACCTCCAAGATGTTCTTGATGTTCTTACTTCATACATAAGAGAAAATAAAACTTATATATGGCAGAGAGCAGATTCAGGGTTAGAACTGTAGATTAAATGGAGTAAAACTCCAACAGATGTAGTAGCCGGTTTTCAGGACAGCACCCAATGATCCCTGCCCCCTGGAATTCATACCGTTGTCCATTCCTCCTACTTTGTCCCAGGATTGGTAACCAACAGTGTATAGCAGAAGGGATGTTTTGTCACTTTAGTAATTATATTTTAAAAGCTTTCCATCTTGAGTGCCCCACCCCCCTTTTTCTCTTTCTGTTTCTTTGGGAGAAGCAAGCTCCTGTGTCGTAAGAGGCCCAGGAGGTGGCAAGAAATGAACCCTGCCAACAACAGCCAATGAGGAACTGAGTTGGCCATCAAGTGAGCGAGACTGTCAGTGGCCACTTCAGCATCAGCTGAGACCTTAAGTGGCCGCAGCCCCAGCCAGCAGCTTGACTGCAACCTCATGAGAGGCCCTGAGCCAGAGCCACCAACTAAGAGTCTCCCCTCCATCCCTGACCCTCAGAAATTGTGGGGATAATAAATGTTTGTTGTTCTAAGCTGCTAAATTTGGGGCTGATTTTTTTATGCAACAATCACTAATATACAGATTATTAACCAGTATGTTGAATTAATATTAGCCATAATTATTAGTTTTACTTTGGCTCTTTTTTTCTTATTTTAAAGATTTTATTTAGTTATTTTTAGGAAGGAGAAGGGAGGAAGAAAGAGAAGGAGAGAAACATCAGTGTGTGGTTGTCTCTGAAGTGCCCCCTAGAAGGGACCGGGCCCGCCACCCAGGCCTGTATCCTGACTGGGAATCGAACCAGCAGCCTTTTGGTTCGCAGGCTGGCGCTCAATCCACTGAGCCACACCAGCCAGGGCTTATTTTGATTATTGGCCCTAAAGGAGCACCGTATAAACTAAATGTTCTCCATAGATTTGGACATGCCTGTAGATTGTGTGGTCTGGAGCAGTCAGCGCCTACTTGCCTGAGGGAGAGAAAACTTGCAAAGGAAGCACAGAGGGTCCAGACCAAGTCCAGTACTGTAGCTTCAGCATCAGAGTGGAGGACAATGCAGAGAGTCCGGCCTGCCCAGTCCCTGCCGTTGAGCTCAGATTTTCTGGAAACCTTGAGTATCACCTGAAATAGCTCTTTTTGCTAGGATCTCTGTGAGACATTATTTACCTTGGTGCCGCGACCCGCGCGGAGTGGAGGTCCCTGAGTGGGGGCGACGGGAGATTGAGAAGAGGACAACACAGCACAAAGACACAACACAAGACAGTTTAGAGCAAAGCGAGGGCCAGGTGGGGCATTGTCCCCGGATGGAGACAATGACAATGACCGCGGTCTCCGTGTGTATTTTATGGGGGTTGGTTAGATGAAGCTCAAGAATGTTTCTGCAGCTGCGGGCAAAGATTATTCGTTTCCCAGGCTGCCTAAATGGTAAAACTTTCTTGTGCCAGGGCTGCAGTGGCCTTCAGCTGAAGCTTGCAGTTAACTATTTCCTTCCTAACCCCTGCGGGCGTGGGCTACCATCAGCTGCCAACTTGCTCTGCCTCGCAAATGCAAGCAGGCAAGCGTGGCCTTGGCTTAACCCGGCTTTTCACATCAGCCTTCACCATCCTCCACACCTTGGCCCCAGAACAACCGGGGGGGACCCAAGAGTAGAGTAACCGGGGTTTATCCACCTCGTCCAACATTTCTAGTGGCATGTCATCGCCCGTGCCTGTCAGCAGTTGGGGCACGGCGGACTCCACCGAAGGGGCTGTGCAGCCCTTCCGTGTCTGCTGCAGGCACATCTCAAAAAAAATGGACAGAAAGGTCTGCATTCAT